ATAAATTTTTAAACTTTTTTTTTTTTTTTTTTTTGTAAATTTGAGACCCTTTAGATCATAATTGTTCTTTATTTCATAAATTACGGTTTCATATTTTTAATTTTATAATTTCTGCATGCCATCTTACCAGATTTAAACTGATGATCTATAATCCGGAATTGCCGAAGTCCTGACGAGTCCGGATTAACGACTTTTGACTGTACTATAATAAAGCTAGAATGATGTATAAAAGAAATTAAGCAAACAAAACAAAAAAGAAACAGTTTTTCACAGACGATTGAGTATTTCTCATTTAATTAATTTAGTTCTCATTTCGCGAGAAGGCAAAAATACATAAAAACTCAAAATATCTATATTAAAAATTACGAAGTAAATCTCAAACACTTATTTCCTTGAAAAAATTTCAGAAAGAATTATGCATGATTTAATTGGCAATAATAAATGAATGCATTATCTTTGTTGTTGCGAAGCTAAGTTTCTCTAGATTGGCAACAAATCCACTAGTCTCCTGTTTCAAATGTAAACATCAATGGCCGCCATTAAAAAAAAGGCTTAGCGGCAATTAAACAACTTTAAAATTGCTGATAATTCTAAAAATATTGCACACAGATTTACTAAAGGCATAAAATCCTTAACCGGAAGATAAAAACAACATAATTCAAACCAGAAGATAAAAACAACATAATTCAATCATTTTAAAGCAAAAAATGTACAATTTACAAACATATAGAGTAAAGAAACTGAGATCACTGAGCCGGGTAACAGAGTGGATATATATATAAATATACTTATATACGTTTGGTGAGGCCAATTGCAACCAGAATACGAAGTGCACATCTACATGTTATAGCAGTCCTATGTACAAAATTTCAACGTTCTGAGGCTACTCGTTTTTGAGTTATGCGAGATATGTACGTATGCACGTACGTACATACATTCGTACAGATGCCACGAAAAATTCTCTTCAGAATTAATTTTATTCTGAAGCAGTTCTATAATTTTTTTGGAGGAAATGAATCTTTTATTCTGTCCTTACGTACAGATATCACGCGAAAAACATCGTTAAATTGCATTCGATAGCGGTCAAAATGGATATTTTTGTTGAAATATGCTGCCTGAAACTTTTTGCGATTACAATACTTCCTTTTTACTTCGTACAAGGAAGTAAAAATGTATAAAAACCAGTAACAAAAAGTCTACAATTATAATTCATAAATTTTTTAGGGAAAAGAAATGTTAACAACTTGAATTTCAAAATGATTTTTAGTATACAGTCTGGTAAAAGAATCTTAATAATTTCTAAAATAAAAATAATTTACGACAGGAAAAAATTTTAAAAATTATTCAAAAGAATAAATTATGAGCCCTAAATGAAAGCATAAACATGCATTAATATAAAATAAGAACTTTCAATGCAACACAAAACATTCACACTTCTCACTAATAAAAGAATGTTTAAAACTTATCAATCAATATTTATACACTGAAGCAGAAACTTTTATAACAGACCACAAAATCATATACTCAAACTTGCATAATAATTAAAGTTTTATAAAATGCATAGTATAGAGCACACACTCCACTCTTAATAAATGACCATACTAATAATATAAATAGCTAAAAAAGAATTATTTTCAAATTTCTACATAATCTTCTACATAATTTCTTTTTAAGAAATATTCAGAATGAAAAATTAAATGCCAAGACATAAGTAGAAACCAGTAATTAAATATATAAGTAACACTGAATTGAATTAACAAGGTATAAATGAACATTTAACCAAAAATAGCTCAGGAAAACATAAACTAATATACATAAAAATCCAAGAATAATATAGTAAAAAATCCAAGATCCATAATCACTGAGATTTCTGCAGTTTCGGAAATTTCCAGATTTTAGGTCATTTATTTCAATCAAATGAGATGATATGTAAAAATTATAAAATTAAAAATATAAAATAGTTGCTTGTGATATAGCATTTATGATCTTAAAAAGTCCAAAATTGAAAAAAAAAAAAAAAAAGATTAGAGTTAACATTTATTTTGCCTTTTTCTTTCAACCTAAGTTGTTTCTGCACATTTTAATACCTTTCTCTTTATAAGGAAATATAACTTATTGCTCATACCAAAGTTTGCTGCAAAATCCCATGTTTTGTCCTGTAATTGCAGTGCCAAGAATTCCCATTAAATATCAGTTGAAATCTTTACATTTTCAGCAATCTATTTATCACTTGCTTCGACCCATCAGCGCGCAAGAGGTAAAGGTGCTGAACACTGATAGATTGGTCTGAGGTTTGAATCCAGCGAACAGGCTGGCTGCAAGGGCGTTTTCTCTACATGTAATGTGTATACGAGTCAGTTTCCCTAAGAAAGTCCTCCATAAAGGTATCCCTCCCCTTAGGCAGATAACCCTCAAAGCTTTGCAGTAATCACATAAACCAATTATTACTTTCTTCACTATTGGTGGCAACATTTTTGGATTTAAAGCTGAACTACAGATTCCGCCATTTGTTGACTGATGTTTGGGTCATCACAATGAAGGCTTCACTTATATAATCTTCATTTACCATACCTTCACATATTTCATTAACTGGAAAATTCCATACTCTTTTTTTTTTTTTTTTAATGAAAGCCACAGCTTTTGGTTCCTTTTTTCTTCGGTATATATTCTTGGTACCAGTTATGTTTAGCTTCTTTTCTGGCATTATCCCATTTTCATGTTATCATAGTTTTTTTTTTTTTTTTTTTAATTTTTTTTTAAGGTTAAATAAGATTTGGATATGCCCAGCGATGAACTATAATTATAATATTTTTCATGAAAGAGGTATTTTGCACAAAGAAAGAACATACAAGCCTGGCATTTAACTAATTATAAAGTTCAAGTAACAGGGATACTTTAAAAGTTTAGAAACTTGTTTTTAAATGAAAAACTATGCAATGAGACTTGTGAAGCCATGGCAATGCATGGAGCAGAAGAATCACAATCAGAACAAACAAAAACTCTCATAAAAAAGGGCACCAATTATAAATGTAACAATGCAATTGTAAAATCTTACCTTGGTTTAATGTAAACCTAATGAATTTTCAATAAGACTCATTTTTGCATATGCCACCCATATGGTATAATGTTTAGAGGAGCCTACTGTGGTATCGAAAGCCTGGTTTAGAATTCTGGAGATGGCTTGGTTGTAATTGACCGTCACTTCACAGGAAGCAATGATGGCAGCCTCCAAATTAAATAACAACCACTTCTGGCCTTAGCATGGCCAATGCTGAATAGGCAAGTGCCCGCCATTGGATAAAAAAAAGGTTTTGCATGTAAATGAACTGCTATTTACGTGCTCTTCCCTCACATTTTGAAAAAAAAAAAAAAAAAAAAAAAAAAAAAAAGATTAAAATTGGTACCTCTGCTAAATTGAAAAGAATGTAGCATGACTGTATTTACAATACAGTCAAAAGTCGTTAATTCGGACACCCCAAAAAACGGATAAAGGCATATCCTTTGTTTATCTAACCATTCCGAAATCTGTTTATCAATTTCACCACGCTGCTCTGTGGCGGGGGGGGGGGGGACGCCGTGGTGCACAATGAATTGGAAGTTGATCTGTCAGCACTATCCTTATCTTCAGGGCAGATGTTTTTATTTTATTTGGCTTATAATTCCTTACTAAATGTAGTATTTTATCTCGATGTACTCCGTCTTTGATATGATTTTAATCAAATTCCTCGTCATTATAATTCGCTTCTGATAGTGAAAAAAGTGATACAGAGGTTATTGAAAACGAAAAATTTCGATTGACAAATTAGTTGCTATTCTCGACACAGCAATTATAGGACTTAAACAGCGTAACTTTGTAACTGAACAAGAAATTATGTCTGTTTATAGAATTAAAGAGAAAGTATTATCACATAAAAAAATGAAGCAACTTAACTTACATTGAAAGAAATGTTTAATAAAGTAAACAAATAAATATTAAGCTTTTTTTCTGTAAATTTTGATACCCTTTAGATCATAATTGTTCTTTATTTCATAAATTACGGTTTCATATTTTTAGTTTTATAATTTCTGCATGCCATCTTACCAGATTTAAACTGATGAATCTGGAAAAATCGATAATATGGAATCGCCGAAGTCCCAGCGAGTCTGGATTAATGACTTTTGACTGTATTAGGAGATCCTTTATTATATTATATACATTATGACAAGTTTTTACATTTTTTATATGCTATATTTATAATATGTGTTTCTTGATTATGAAACTAAATAAAATATGATCGTTTCTTTGGAACTTCTGCCAAAGTGATTAGCTGAAGTTTGGCGGGATCTCTGCCAACTTTCACAGATACACATTTCATATTAGAATTACTTTTTTTACTTTGAATGTTTTACTTTTATACATTTAAAATCTAAAAAGTATGTTTTCTTTTATTTCTGAAATGCACATTCTCCCTGAAATCTTACATGATTTTAAATACAGACTTTTGATATTTAAGCTGATAACAAATAACTTTTTTTGTTTTTAAGTTTTAGACTGCAAAATTCGTTTACTAATTTTATGATTTCATTTGGTTCCTTTTTTATATGCTGAACTATCTGGAATTTTCACACATCTGGCATTTCCAAAGCTTTCCAAATTATCAAGCTTTTAGTATATAGGAATTTCAAATCATTACATTAAAAGAGTAACAGCTATTTCGCCTTACTAAAGATTTCACATGCATTAACTGACTGATGACTGTGGCATTGTTATTGCAATTGCAGACTTTAGTTACATTATCTTGTTTACCATTTCTTTATATATTTCATTAATCACAAAAATCTCTCTTTTTAGTTAATACACTGGTGTGCAAAACTTAAGCAATCATTGTTCTTTTTTGTATAACTCCACGAGAAATCATCTGAGAGACAAGAAATTCAGAATTAAGAGAAAGCATTTTGTATTTAAACGATGACAAAAGCATCATTGCGTTAAAAATGAATACAATGCATACAGTATGAAATCAAACAAAAATAGGCTTTATTGAACTCATAGTATCATTATACATGATTTTCTGTACAAGAGGAAGAACAACAAGCAGATGTTCCTTACTGTGAGATATGCCCTCCCCTTACTGCAATGGTTGCTTCAAATGGTCTCCTCATACTCAGCACCAAATTGTCCAACAAATCTTGAGGAAAGATGGCCTATTTCTCAATCAGCATCTGTTTCAGTTGCTGGGTGTTCCCCAGAGGATGTAATCGTGCCACAAGGCATCTCCCCAAAGCATCCAACACATGTTCTAAGGGATTTAAATCAGGGGAGCACGCTGGCCAATCCATTTAAGTGATATATTCACTTTTCAGTAGCTTCTGAACAGAAGGAGTCTGGTATGGCCGTGCATTGTTATCCATAAAAACGAAGTCTGCTTCAATGACTTCTCGGAACAGATGCACATGGGGAAGGATCACCTCCTGACAATGACGCACATGGGGAAGGATCACCTCCTGACAATAGCAATCTCCGGTTACAGAATTTCTGTCGAAAATGTGGCGCTCTATCCGCCCGTTCAGCATAATGCCTCTCCAGACGAGATCTTCAGGACACCATAATGGTCTCTTTCCGTGATGTTACTGAGATTAAACCGTATTCCGATCTCTCTCCAAATCAATTTGTGTTGAGAACTGCTTGGGCACTAAAATGACTCTCATCCGTAAGGAGGATACGACTCCATTGATGAGATGCCCAGGTTTTGCGCTTCTTGCACCACTGTAAACACTGATGCTGATGGCCAGCTTTCAAAGGGATGCAGCGTTCAGGACGGCAGGCGAATAAGCCAACTTTTTGAAGGTGTCTGCACACAGTAAACTGCGGCACATGTCGCCCCGTTGCTGTACACAGTTGTTGAATTATGGAGTTTGGTGACTTGTTTCGGGCTCTTTTTCGCCTGCAGGACAATATATCGGTCATCCACTGCAGTTGTTTTCCTTGGGCGGCCACCACCAACCTTTCTAACAGCCGTACCTATGGTTTGTAAGGCTTTCCAAGTGCACGAAAAGCACTTTTGTTGATTCTGAACTCTTCAGCTATACTAATCACACTTCGCCCCTACTCCAGATTTTCGATCATTCTTCCACGTGTGAAGTCATCCAGATCATTTCTTCTAGCCATATTTCATGAAAGAACTCCTTGTACTTGCAGCGAATGTCTTTAATTGTGTCTCCATCCTTCCTTTTATGATAGTCTCGAGTTGAGTGTGCCAGCCATATACGTTTTGCTACGTTCACGTAGCCTGTGACATTTTTTCTTGACATTTGCATACGCATGACCTTTCTACTGAATGCAAGAACCCTTTTTCTACAATTTAATGGCTATCTCATTAAAATTTACATTGTTGCTTAAGTTTTGCACCCCAGTGTACTATCCAAAAACCTTCAAATTTGTGGCAATCATCATCATGAAATATGGTGGCTGGCTATAAATTATTCCAAGTATTTTTAAAAAAATCTGCAAACCTGTGTACTTGTGACTCTACAATGCTTCCAATAGCAAAATTTATTATTATAATATTTCAAGAATTCTCGGATGGTCTTGCAATTGCATCAATTTTAAAAAGGCTACTTTAGATCTGCATTTTGAGGCATACAAAATTATTATAGCTATTGCTTGATTAAGCTAATTAAATCAGAAAGTTAAGGAAGAGCATTACTTGCATTGCTGGTTGAACTTGAGTAAATCAAATCTTTGCCCCTTCTTCTCTGTTACACCTACAAAATAAATCCAGTATTTCACTCTAAACTATATAGTTTAGGCCACTCATGATGTACAGGGATAGATAAGATATTAAGATAGGCTAGATAGATTATTTATCAAAGGGATTTTTTTAATAAAGTGCCTTCAGTCTTAATCAGGTGCATTTACTAAGTTCATCAGGCAGGACATCTTTCAGTTCAAGTGCCATTCATTATAGAATACACCACTATACTTATACAGAATTAATATTGGGTAATCTCAATTCTACAATTCAAATTATAATCTCAATTCTACAATACAAAAGTTATACAATTCAAATTAATGTACGTTTTCTTCTAATTAGTTTATTACTGATGATATAGAGTGACCTTGATTGAAGCAGACTGCAAATACGGTCATTTCTGCTCATGCTGCATAATTCTACCCCATGTTGTGGATAATTTTTGTTTTAGTGTAATGTTAAGAAAGGAGAACTCCAAAGTTAATTTTTGTTACATTATGTTCTATTTTAAAAAAAGGAGAAAAATTGTGCTATATATGTAAAAAGTGCTGTTTCTGATGGCACAGTTTGATGGTGGTTTAAGTGTGTAAATTTCAGTCTCGAAGATGATGCCCGCAATGGATGACAATCCCTTGCAAACAAGGACCTACTACAAGAAGCTATAGCTGGAAACCTAAGTTATACGATTCCAGAATTATCAAACAGAATAAATATTCCAAAAACTACATAATCATATGAAGAAGAAAGGGTACACAAGCTGCTATGATGTATGAGTACCCATACTTTAACAGAGCAGAATATGCTAGATTGAACTTCCACAAGTGATTCTTTCCTGAAACAAAATAAAAAAGCTCAATTTTTTTTTTTTTAAATAGCTTATTACTGGAGATAAAAAGTGGATACTGTGCATTAAGTCTGGGGGGGGGGAAGGGTTAAGCCAAAAGAACCTTCTTTAGTAATATGAGCGTGAGGAAACGCAGCCCCCCCCAAAAAAAATTCCTTTGCGTATGGTGGGACTACAGAGGAATTGTACACTGTATTGTTGTCTGATTTGGTGGCATTTTCAAATGGCACTTTAAAAACATAAATTAAAGCAAAGTGCTTAAACCTCACCAAGGGTATGCAATCTGCTACGATGTATGAGTACCCATACTTTAACAAAGCAGAATATGCTAGCTTGAGTTTCCACATGTGATTCTTTCCTGAAACAAAATAAGGAAGCTCCTTTTTTTAAATAGCTTATTACTGGAGATAAAAAGTGGATACTGTGCATTAAGTCTGGGGGGGGGAAGGGTTAAGCCAAAAGAACCTTCTTAGTAATATGAGCGTGAGGAAACGCAGCCCCCCCAAAAAAAATTCCTTTGCGTATGGTGGGACTACAGAGGAATTGTACACTGTATTGTTGTCTGATTTGGTGGCATTTTCAAATGGCACTTTAAAAACATAAATTAAAGCAAAGTGCTTAAACCTCACCAAGGGTATGCAATCTGCTACGATGTATGAGTACCCATACTTTAACAAAGCAGAATATGCTAGCTTGAGTTTCCACATGTGATTCTTTCCTGAAACAAAATAAGGAAGCTCCTTTTTTTAAATAGCACATTGCTGGAGATAAAAAGTGGATACTGTACATTAATTCTAGGAAAACAAAATCACGGGATAAGCCAAAAGAAACCTTCTTTAGTAATATGAAGACGTGGAAATGCAACCCCCCCCAAGAAAAATGCTTTGTGTATTGAGGAACTACAGAAGATTTGTACACTGTATTATCGTCTGGTTTGGTGGCATTCCTAAATGGCATTTTAAAAGCAGAAATTAAAGCAAAGTGCTCAAACCTCACCAATATTCAAAGGTTTAGATTCATGATAATGTCTGGCTTCATATTTCAATCAATGTCAGACAAAAACTTACTGAGTAAGGCTGAGATGTTTTGTGTCTTTTCCATATTCATTAGACCTTGCCCTCTCAGATTTCATCTCTTCAGGTCACTTGAAATTCTCTGAGTAGCCTGGAATTCACTTCTTTGGAGATTCAAACTGCATGTCGATAACTTCTTTATGAATAAAGGTAATGACTTTCAAAAAAAGGAATTTCCCAGCTGCCTTAGGGATGGCAAAAAGTCATAGAATAAAATGGATTTATGTGGATTAATTAAAGTTTCTTACTTTTTTTAGATTGCTTTATTTGTATCTTTCATAAAAAAGTGCAGAAACTTTCGAATGACCCAATATAATGAAGTTTAAATTCTATTGAGAGAAATATGTTACTAATTTATGAAAAAAATGTAGTGAATTTCATATTATAAATAAACTTCATTACAACTGAATCAACATAATAATTGACTTAAATAAAAGACTAAATAAAACTGAAATTATACAAAATGTATAATTATATGAATGTATCATAACTGTGAATAAATAATGCAACTTTTAAAATTCACATTATTTATTCCCATTTATCCTTAAATGTAATTTTAAAATTAATTAAATTAAATGTAATTAAAGTCCTTACATGCTATTTAAAAAAATAAAAAGAATTAAAGGTTCAGTAAATAGATTAGAGATTGCTGTAAGACAGATAACATAATTAGTTTCATAAGTTATCATGTAACATTAATATATTGCTCATTCAGTGAATACTACACATTCACTCAAGGAGCAGTACCTATTTTTGAGGGCACAACAAGACATGGGAAAAATGGGTACCATGCTAGATGTTAGAAGCTCAGTGGGAAAATGTTTGTTTTGCCCTGCTATTCGATTTCCAGTGCAACTTTGAATATGATTGTTGTTTCATGCCGCAATATTCACATCGCAATTTTGGACAACATCACATCAATTCGCAGAAAATATTTAAGCCAATGAGGCACAGTATATTGTTTCCTTACTATGATGCAAGGTCTCATGTGGCATGGTCAGTTTAAAAGAAACTTGTGAAATCCAAATGGCTTCAATAGGTGCCATACACAGGGTTCCTACACATTTCTGCACATGGAAATTTAGTACTATTAAGGACCATTAATGAAATTTAGTACTATTAAGGACTTTTAAGGACCATTAATGAAAAAAAATTGAGGACCTATGAGCAAATGGGAACTGAATAAATTCAATTAAAAATATTATTCTATGCCTGAATTTCACTTTTGTAATACCACTTTGTACTGTTTCACTTTTGTAATATTTTTCAAAATAAAATAGATCCCTAAGTAGTATGCATTATTACTAAACATGAATTAACTAACATAATTATTAATAAGTTTGAGAATAAAATAAACTTCATACAGTTCATCAAGTAGCATTAAATATTTTACACTTATAATAGTTAGACATATTTGAAAGAAGATAAGTGACATTTACGTTTTACTAATAATTAGCTTTATTAAGACACAATAACACACCGAACAAATACTAATTCAGAAGTCAAACAACAAAAATCAGCGTTATATTTTCAAAATTTTCACAGGACTAGTTTCGATGGTTTTACCAATCCAAATGGCTTCAATAGGTGCCATACACAGGGTTCCTACACATTTCTGCACATGGAAATTTAGTACTATTAAGGACTTTTAAGGACCATTAATGAAAAAAAATTGAGGACCTATGAGCAAATGGGAACTGAATAAATTCAATTAAAAATATTATTCTAATGCCTGAATTTCACTTTTGTAATACCACTTTGTAACTTTCCACTTTTTGTAATATCCCTCTAAGAATAAAATAGATGTGTAAGTAGGATGCATTCTTCTTAAACATGAATTTAATAGACATAATTATAAAACAAGTTTGAGAATTAAAATCCAATTTATACAAATTTATCAGATAGCATTCAATATTTTACACGTATAATAGTTGGACACAGTTTGAAGATTTTGAAATAGATTAGGGACATTTTACTTATGTTTTACTAACAGTTAGCTTTATTAAGACACAATAACACGCCGAATAAATACTATTCAGAAGTCAAACAACAAAATCAGGTTATATTTTCAAAATTTTCACAGGACTAGTTTCGATGGTTTTACCGAACCACTATACTCAGCTGCAAAACCGCAAATGAAAAATTGGTTTCATTTGAGGTTTTGCAGCTGAGTATAGTGGTTCGGTAAAAACCATCGAAACTATAGTCCTGTGAAAATATAATGCTGATTTTT